GTGGACATTATTTACTTTAACAAATTTCAATAAATATAAACTTCAGATATTTCGTTTGCTACTTTCATATATGTTCATAACGTCTTTTGGTTGTTCAGTATGTCAGAAGAAGCAAATTGAACTTTTCGAAGTACTTCAAAAAAGTGATCAGTCCAAAATCACACTTTTACACTTTCGAAATGTTTTTTTCAAAGAGGTATTAATTTTGGAACACAGAACCTAAATGTAAATCAAACGAAAAAAAACTTAACCAAAGTAAATTCTCATGCTGAAAGCGAAATTAGTCTGATGAATGCAAAAATGCACTCAATTGCATCGAAACTATTTCCCAAAATGGATATCGTCAGTTTTGCGTTCGCTTTTGGCACGAGAACATTACTTTGTTAAAACTTTTCTTGTTCGATTCAAATAATACGTTTTGTCATTGAATCACATTTTATTTGGAACATATGCCAAACTGTTCACCTCAAAACAATTTCAACCAATGCTCCATTTCTAACTCTAACATATTTCTTATCTTATAAGGGAGATAGATCATTAAAAGTTATGATGTTGAAATAATATCAATTTCTTATATTCAATGAATAATCAGATATGTTACTATACAGTCAGAGAATGGGAAACACCGCACTGGTCGCTATTCCACAATGATTCATCTGATTTCGTGACATTCGGAAATATCCATGTTCGCCCCAGCTGGGTCCCCAGCTATTTTTCAAAATGTAATAATCTCTATCATGTTCGTCTGTACCATAGCCAACCAGGAGAACAGCATGGCTAAGATCTAAGATTCTTGAGCCGCAATTTAGTTCGTGATACACTCCACTCGAATAATGTTGAAATGAAGGATGTTTTGCGTCTACTGAAACCGAAATCGGGCCATGGATAGCAAGAGCTTTTTGTAGTTCATCTTCATTGCCACTTGGAATGCGTGAGAATCCATGGACAATAACATTAGACGGCTTCACAGTTGACTGGCAATAAACATTTTCGTAGCCATGATATGGATAGGATTCTTCTGTTTGGATTCCATGATCGCGAATGTATTTTATTGCTGATTCCGGCCAACCGCCACGGCATCCGTAGTTGGCATACGATTTCGAACAATCAACTAGATTCTGTTCTGATAACGACAGCAAATGGCCCGTTTTCAGGAAATGTTGTCCTTCAACGGCGCCTATTACCATGAAGTTAGATATTAAATACTTATATTATTTAAAAAGTATGGTATTAATTGTTTACCCGTTGTTGAAAATGACCAGCAAGAACCGCAAAATCCTTGATCTTTTACTCCAGTAACAGCACCTTTGGTGCGCCAGTCTACTGATTTTGGTAGATTTACATCGGTAGGGCCAGCAAAAGGTATTGATTCCTCATCTTCGTCTATCACACTTTCGTTTAATGAAATAAAAAAAGGAAATAATTCATCAATTTGTTCAAAGAAAAAGAAAATAAGTATTTTATCAATTCTCACTTTGTGCCAGCTTTGATGCCATTCATCATATCTATGAAATCTTCGGGTCTCAAGTCGCTGTACTTATTGAGGCCCATTTTGAAGTGAGCGATTCCATTCTCATAGTGCAGATTGTGTTCATCGATTTGGTGTTTGTGTTCAACGAAAATTCGAAAGTGGTGTATCTCATCGGCAAGTGAGTCATAGTGCTTGGAATGTTCGGCCTATAAATCAAAATGGATGTTCAATTTTCGGATGCATTTTTCTTCTTTTTCATATATTTATTCAACACTCTTTTCAACGAAACATTGAATTCACCTTGAACGAATTCCAATCATGCACGTCAGACATCAAGGTAGCATCACTAACAACTAATACTGATATAAACATTACAAGACGTTTTCTCATTATATTTGCTTGAATCTAGAATTCCGGAAGAAACAAGAAGCACTTCACCACACTTCTAATCGAGAGAAACTTATCAGCAATTTTCAACAAACGAAAAGATCACCTCGTAATACGTATACGGAACTTATAATTCTTTTACACAAACTAAAATGGGACTGAGAAATTCAACTAAAATCTAGCCTTTTTATATTGACAGGTGCACGTTGAAGAGATAATCTCAAGACACGAAACTACCATCGTTTTTACGCGAAAAGATACAAAAAGCTAAACAAAAGCGATATGAGATAAAAAAAGAGAATTTATTCAATTGAAACATTCATTAAATCACCAACGTTGAAACAAAATACAATAATCATTTTGAAACATCGTATAATCACAATTTTGATATGTTTGTTTACGTTGTAAATTTGTCAAATCGCTAGTTATAACTTTTCTTCTGAGAATCCAATCGCCATTTGTTCCTCATTTTTTTACAATTTCAACTGTATTGACATTGAAACCTAGGGGATTCACGCCAAATTTTATTTAGCAAAATCTATTTGTATTATTTAAATCATGTAAAATTCACGCTAGATTTCAAATATTTTGTATTATTGCCCGAATGCGTTGTTATTGTTTATATTCACCTTGAACAATATGTTCTGGAAGTGGGTTTTGGTGGATCTTCAGGATGGATCAGACTGGGTTTGACAATGCCCTGGTCCATCCTGAGGATCCACTTCCAGAACCAGGAGCGGTTTTGAACAATCCTGAGGATCCACCAAAACCCACTTCCAGAATTTTTGAAGCGATAATGACGTCAACAGATTAGACATGGTTCTGCTGACAGTCGGTTTATTGAACAAAATCGAGCAAAATTGAAATTATGCATACATATCTGTTTAATATGTTGAAACATAAACAAATTCATATTATTTATTCATATTTTAAATATGGAAATTGGCGTGAGTCCCCTAGATTGAAACCAATATGTGTTGATATCTTTTGGTCAAGTTAACCCATCAATTTTCTTAGAAAAACAGAACAAAATATGTCGATTTAAACCTATCAAAGAGCAAAATGCAAAAGAGTGGAATGGTTTTTAGTTGCATAATAATTTCTTTTTCTAAATTTGACTGAATAAAAATTAGAGAGAATAAGACCATTCGCCAAAAAAAACTCGTTGTTGCATTAAGACCAAAATAGTACAGTTCTTCGGAGAGAAACTGTTAATATAGCTCGAAATATTCCCGAAAAATCGGAAAGGAAATTCAAATTGTAAAAAAAATCTGCATTAAAGTTTGCATTTTATTGACAATTTATTTCGTTTTACTATTACATCATATTTGATTTAAAACAAGAGAAAGTTACTACCGCTTATTACATTTGCTTATTTCTGTAAATTTTCGATAAAAATCTGCTACACATTATTTTATTCTATTCAATGCTATAATTGAAATAATAATTCTTACATGTGTAGGCTTATTCTTACACATTTTGCTTCAACTGGAGCTAAACTTTTATATTTGATGCAGACATTATGCACAGAAGATATGGATTCAGAGATACAAACCTATCACCTCATGGCATGAGAAAATGTGTTTCAGTTTTGGTAAACAATTGTTGTGATAATCAACAGCAGAAAAAAAAACGGTTGCCCAGTTTAAAGTTCCAGAAAATCGCCTGTGTTGATACTACGCTCAATGATAATAAGCTCGAAATCAAATTCAATCACTATACAATGTTTTGAATATTCATACATTGTATAAAAACAGTTTATAAATTTTCCTATGCATTCATTCATTTTCGATATTTTTGATTTCGATTTGCATTTTAAACTACATTGACACTGATAATGGAATGGTGTCACTTCACTGTGAGTGCTGCCCATTTTATTCGAGACACAACACAATTTGCAGTGCGAACAAAGCGAGTTAGCGGTCAAAGTTTAAGCAAAGAAATAGCGAATGAAAAAACACTTTTCAGGTTACAGAATAATTATTTATTGTTTCAAAATTCCACGGAATTCACTTTGGTGTTGTGCATTTGTATTTGAAATTTAAGTCATTACAAACTGATGGATTGAAATCATAAACATTATTATTATATAGAATGTAATACAATGTTTTTGTTTAACTGAACCAATAGAACGGTGGAATTTTCATCACTCTGCCCCATACGGTGCCCCTCACTTTGACGAACGTTCCAGTTTTAGCGGTTTCGTACTTTGGGCGTCCGTCAAATTGGAATTCGGATGCCTTGTTGGTTACACTGCAGTTGTAGTTAACTTGATCAGATCGTTCAATGTTTTCAATGACGAGTATTGCGTTTTCATTATTGTTTGTGTCGTTAACTGACCATACGATGTTGGGCTTAGTTCCACGTGCAACGCAATCCAGCTTTACATCTGTTGTTCGGACTGTATTCATTTTTTATGGCAATTTTTCCACATAGACGTTGGCAATGACTTCGATGGTGGCTGAATCACTTGTTTCCGGAATAGTGCATTTGTAATTGCCAGCATCGCCAACTTTTGGCTTAGGGATTACGATAAATGGTATATAGTTGTTACGTTAAAACGATGTATTTACTCCGGCACCTTGTCCACATCCACGCTATTTTTTTGCCTTTAGTCGAAACAATGAAAAAATAAACAAGAACACACGGAAATATCAATTATTTGATGCACAGATCAAATCAATAAAATCACACAATTTGAAGGGGAATAAAGAGAAAACACAATGGAAAACTACGATGGATTTTCTTTTTTTCAACAAAAACTCACCATTTCATAAGGTATGTGCGCTCGGTACGATGAACGCAATTTTTTTTTCTCTTCAAAACGGAAAAACATTACAATTTTTAGCATAAAGAAGCAGAAAAGTTGCTTGAAGCATTCATTCATGTAGGTGTTTGTCGTTAGCTGGAATTGCGATGCAGTTTGTATGTATGTTTGTTGGATTTGCCGGTTTCGGATTGTGTTGACCACGTTTTGTGATTCATTCTTGACATCCGACACTTCCAATCGCAATTTGAATGAACATTACGTCAAGGAAACAGTAGAGCACCCAATACGATAAAGATTTCCAGCGTTTGCTTTGTATTCAACGACAATGTAAGAAATTCAATATGATTTAATGGAAAAAGCACTTTTTTTGCTTGGTTCTTCTTTTTTTGTGTCTGTGGAAGAACTTATCGCTGAAGTCTGTCTTTCTTTTGCTTGGAAATGTCACTCACCTCAAATTCTTCTGAATTTAACAGCAAACATTGAACAGCAAATACGGCTAAAATCTCCTCTTCAGAGATCAAATATGCCCATGTCATGCTCATTGAAGTGTGTTTTGTTTCAAAACTAACAATTTCCTTGTTCCATAGAGAATTGAGATAACTTGACATTAACTGATTAATTGAGAGTAGAAACGCCACTATTTCAAATGTTCAAATAACAAACAGAAATAAGCCAAACAAAAATTCAAAAATTGTCATCATCAAGTGCGTAAATAAATTGTGATATAAGTTGAACTTGTCTATTTGGATCACGCATCAAATGTATCGGCCGGTGTTGATTTAACGTTGTCATATTTCAGATTTCAATTACTGCATTTGTGTTTCACATAATCTCATGCGCTGTTCACGTTCTGACCGATCGATATTGCGTCGAAAATACAATCCGAAAAATGCCAAAATGCCGAGACCGAAGATTAGTTCTTTTTTTTTTAATTCGTTGGCGCGATAAAGAAGTAGTATGAAATTGAATGGTTTCGCAAATATTTGTAGATTTCGGTTGAAAACCCCAAAATTCACATTTATTTGACAAACAACGAAGAAATGTCACAAATCGACACTCTCAAGACAAAAAACTGTTATTTTGCGAAAAAAATGTGTTTCAATTTATTTCATGAATGTTTTTTTTAAATCAAGATTGATTCTGTTTATCACCGACGGTGATTTTTTCTAATCATTTCCAAGACCAGATATCAATGGCGAAGGGAGTAGGTTTTCCCACACACGAAAAACGCACAATTCACAGTTAACTTCTTTTAAAATAACTTTATTCTTATTCAAATTTTTATAATTGATTTGTTTCTTTTTTTTTCTTCGATTTCCTTAATTTATCCTGTGAAGATCAGACCAAATCTATATGTATAGTTTCGATATATAATGCTTGAAAGTATTCGTATTGTTCTTTAATGGAACATATGTATAATTTTATTTCTACAAAATAAAGTATCGCTTAATTCGCATTTTCTTTTATCTGTCCTAAGTCACGCAATCAACAATGCTAACATACAAGTTATTATTTGGTAACATGAACTAGACTTCTTCTTTTTCTTTTATTCGATATTAGTAAAATATTTAGTGAATAAAGGTGGATCTCGAAATAATATTCGTTGAAAACGAACGTTTTCGACCAAAGTAGAAGGTAGAGTAAAATATGAAAAATTTGAAATGAAAATGACAAAAGAAAATAAAAAGAGAAAATTGATAGAACGTTTAAAAGTAGAGAGTTTAAACGAGTGGGTAGCTGGCTGAAGTAGCGATACCGCAATGGTTGTGCTTGTTGCGAGCCATTTTAACGTAGCCACTATCTCCCCAAGTCGTACCCCATGAATTCTTAACGATGTAGTAGTCTTTGCCATTCTCATCAGTTCCGTAGCCAACAGCCAAAACGCCATGGTCCAATTGTTGTGAATCACATTGTGGCTCATAGTACACGCCCGATTGGTAGAATTGGAAGGATTCGTGTGATGCATCGATGGCAACCGAGACTGGACCGACAGTGGCGAGAGCAGCAACCAATTTCTTTTCATTACCTTCTGGGATGTCGACGAAACCACGATCAGTAGCGCCCGAGTTCTTTGGATTGTATTTGCAGGTGTCATCTGTGCCTTCGTATGGATAAGTCTTCTCTGTGTCGATACCACCTGTATACATTAAACGGAAATTAGAAAAATGAATATTGATTAAATAACAGAATTTCGATTGAATGGCATAAATCGTTAGAAGAACGACGTTCAAATATATTACCATTATCTTTGATGTATTGGAATGCGTTGTCCATTAATCCACCGTTGCAGCCATTGTTTCCGTATGAAGCCGAGCAGTCGACGAGATTTTGCTCTGACAATGAGACCAAAACACCCGTTTTACGGAAGTGTTGTCCTTCCAATGCACCGGTAGCCGAAAATGACCAGCATGAGCCGCAGTGACCTTGGTCCTTGATTTCAGTCACAGCACCCTGGTCTCTCCAGTCAACTGAGGCGGGAACTTCAACATTTGCTGGTTCAACGAAGAAGATTGGCTCTTCTACGGGTTTGTTGTCACCTTTGCTCATTCTGGGCGTGGAAAGAAAGGAAACCGTTAATTTTGCCTCATAAACAATACAGAAGCAGAATCAGAAGGAAAAGGTAAAACTTACTTCAATGCAACCGATCGATTGAATCCATTCATGTGTTGAATGAATTCATGATGCAACAAATCGGCGTATTTGTTCAATCCCAATTTGTATGTAACATGTCCCTTTGCATAGGCTTGATTATGTTGTGCAATTTTATTTTTATTTTCCATAAAAATCTTCATACGGAAACGTTCCTCCGTATCGCTTTTGTAGTTTTTATCATGCTCACTCTAGAAACGACGGAAGAAAGAAAGAAAGTGAATAAAAGAAAAGAATTCGCTTGATAAGAAAGTTCCCATTTCAGAAGTGTGCTTAAAATAAATGATTCACATTGTGTGTGGAAATGAGGAGAAAAAAAAAACGCAAAATACACAGAAAGAGTATTTGGCCGTTATCACATATCAGTTACGTATGCGTCGTCTGTACTGACAGTAATAATCGGCGCGCAATAACTTCAATCGAACAGTTCATGTGACTGGGGTCAAAATGAATATTAAAAATTTTTTACGTTGTGTTCAAAGTTTCTCGACGTCGAGAGAGTTTGATTACGCGCAGAAATGATTGTACGCAGTCAAACAACGCGCATTTTGGCGCGTAAAAAGACACATGCTGACAAAATAGGTCAACGACAAATCAAGAGTTTATTTTTTGAATCCACGTGACACTTGAATCTCCTATTTAATGCAGCCTAAAATCAGAGCAGTAGCTACTTTTGTCATACACCAATTTATTCATTAGACATATGCTGCATGATTATGATGACAATGACAATAGCCAAGCGTCATTCTATGTGTGAATGGAAAATGGCATCGACATCGATATGGCTTCTTTGTTTCAAGTGAATCGTTTTTCAATGCGACAATTCTCGTCGCAGTTCGAGTGATTTGCAATAAAAGTGATTGCGCAAGCGATTAAACTTGAGTACAAAAATAATTTTTTGTGCAGTTTTTCAAAAAAAAATTCCTGCAAATGGTACGAACATTCGACAATTTGTGAATTTGTCATCAATTATAGACAGCAAATGAAAGCATTTCGATGAATCGTTTATGTTTTGTTTTTGACGAAGATTTTTATTTATGAACTAATTCCGACTGCGACAGCAAATCATGTAAACTGATATGGCTCATTCAAAAAAACTAGCGAAAAAGAGAATTGCAAATGAAGCGAGGACAATAAGACGCAATCAGACAGTCATGTGAGTTTTATCGCAATTCGGAATGAGGATGTACGTTCGTCATAAAAACACTTTTTTTTGTGTTTTGATTTTAGAACCGGTTAGGTCAATCGTTTCAGAGCGTTTCTGCTTTCTGAATTTTGCTCCATCCGTTTTTATTCTAGCCGTTTGACACTACGATCACGCGCTTCTCGCCCCGCAGTAATTTAATACGGTCGTTTGAAAAACGCGATTAAAAATAATTCCAACGAACGAACGGAAAAAAGGTTACATTTCTATTTATGTTTGTATGTTTACTTTTTGCTGTTGATGCGATTAACGATAACGATAAGACGACCGATTGTCAAACCAAAAAAAACACATTCATCAAATTGATGTTTCAAACTATTATTGAAGCGTAATTAGTTCAAAATATTCTGCAAGCGCCAATTCAATATCAGATTTTTTTTTATTCGTAATAACGGAGGGGCGTTTTAATTAAAATGCATTCTGATGAAATTTTGGGAGCAAATAATTTTTGTTTCGGAGAAATTGTGAATCATTTTGATGGGTTTTATTCAAAATAAATGAAATCATCGCACAAAATACCATATCTTACCTTGAATGCGTCCCATTCCCCTTTGACAAGCTCGAAGTATGAGATGGCATTCGCAGCCGCCAACATTCCAACGAAAACAATCAGGAATTTATTCATGATGATTGGATTCTGCAAATAAAGCAACAACAAAAAAAAAAACGAATCAAAATAATAGTCTTTATTTTGTGATGCGATTTTTCAAAGGATATATAGATACGGAAACTTTCTGTCATGTTTCGGTTGAAATAAGGCATTATGCAGCGAAAACTGGTTTCCGTTGTTTTCAAATACAAGTTTAACCGAATCGCTTCGTTTTACATTTCATACAGAGGCGAGTCTACACACAGCAAAAACAGCTGTTGCATGCGAATGTGTCATCCAAATCGAACCCATTCTAACACTACACAAAACTTGTGTAGACTGTACAGACTCAAGCGAACCATACACACAGACACGTACACATACAAATGCGCATTCTCTTTTGTTTATATCTATTTCGTTTTTACGTCTCCGATAAATATCGACACTGAAAACAGACCAAAATCCGATTTTGTTTTTCGTTCATTTGTTGTTTTTATTTCTTTGTTCTCGGGAAAAAGGTGAGTCAATGTTTAGTTCGATCTGAAGCGATGTCGCAAAGGAAAATAAACATCAAAACAAACACACAGTCGACTCAATTGGTCAGAAAGAATATTTTTTCCGTATGAATACACCCGTATTTTTCTTGTGTTAACTACCAAGAACATTCAGAGATTTATGGTGTTTCCATTTTTAAATGTGCCAAATCATCATCATTTGTGACCAAAGAACAAACGATATAATTGTTCCTTTTTTTCGACCGGAAATTATTGATTAAATTATGCGTTGGAAATGAATGTGATAAAAGAAATTATCAGAATCAACGGCGATTATTTTTTAAATAATTATCGGGAGACCATTTCCCTTAAATAAAATATCAACGATGAAAAAACGGTTCTTTCGTTCTCATGAATTGGCGTTTTTTTTGGAAAAGAGAAAAAATAAACCCGACCTTTGTCTTATGCTCAATATCAGATGCGGCTGAACTTGAAATGAACGTCTAATTGAATAATTCGATTTAGTCGCTTATTCTTCCGTATTTGCGACTTATTTTTTAATTCTGACTTGATTTATGTGCAAATTGCGTAGCAAATATAAAATTAATCTAATACATTTGATGACAAAAATACTTCAATTCAATTAAGCGAAAATGGTATTGCATTATATAGATAAGAGAAGACGCCTTTTTTCCTAACAGAATATGTCTCTTGAAAATCAAATAAAAGAAGAGTGTGGCTACTTACTTGAATACGCTTTGTATTACACTTTGAAAATATTGAATTTGCTTCACTTTTTTGACAAAAGTTTTATCGAAAAAAATCGAATTTTATTCAAGTTAATAAACTAAATTGTTTCTTCCGTAAAATGAGAGAATAATTAGAAAATCAGTCTGACTCGATCGACGACCCAACACAAAATAAATAGAAATGTAAACGGTTTCGCGTTGATGACTTTGTAGTTTGTGCGACGAGAGATATACACATGATAGGGCGAAGATGAGGCAAAAAGAGAGAACGATGAAACATTCGATGTTGATAGTCTACAAACACTTCTCCTACTTTGTGTTTTGCACACAATAAACCCGTACGAATTCGCTGTTCAACTTGACAACGGCTTCGATGTGTACGTGTGTACGTGTGTGTATATGCGCCTGTGTAGATTTTGCAAGTGCTCTCCAAACGTGGCGAAAATAACAAAGTGGAGCGAGTGTTAAAAATCCTTGAGATTCTTGTTCTTTCGTGTTTTTACATGCATTGATTGCAGTTTTTATGAAGATATTTTTTCATAATTTTTTTTTTCTTCATTAAAATTTGTTTCTCCTTCTTGATCTCTATTTTTCTTCGTTCTTTCCCCTCTCTTTTCTTTTCTCCAATTATCTTTTGCCATGAATTATTAAAAAAAAATTCTTACTTGTTTGTTTGCTTATTTGTTTGAATATCAACGGGTTTTCCAAGAATGATACTTTGTACTCAAAAACAATTGTTTTCTCACCATCTGGATCAAATTGAACAAACAACGCACTAAAACATCTGTCCGTGAATCACTCATTCAAAAATAAAAACCATACTATTCAATAATAATTGACGGCGAACATTTTTATTGAACGTTTTTATTGTACAATATAGCTGAATAACATTTTATCTGTTGATTATAATTAAAAAAAAAACCTTAACTATCCATTAAACTTAAAAATCCATTAGTCCTCATCGCTGTCAGCTAACAGTTTATTCAGGTCAAAGTTGGCTCCGGCATCTGTCTTGGCTTTTGCCGTTTCTAGAAATAGATCTTTGAGAGTTTGTAATTGCTTTTGCTTCTGGGCTATCCTTTCTTCCAATTGAGTATTGGTCGCTTTCAAATTGTCAACTCGGTCCTTTGTTTCATTGGCGCGTTGCTTCGACTTGACTCGGCTCCGTTTTACTGCCTGCAAATGGAATAAAACAGAAATTCAGATTAAACACAACCAATAAATCAATATGCATAGAATGTACTGCATGCTAAAGTAAATTACATGTACACAATCCATTTCAATCCCACAAATACGAACGTATGAAAAGGGTTCCAAACATCACGATTAAAAACGCAAAAGATTTGCACAAAATCACAAACAAAACGAGTGTTCTTATTGATAACACATCAATTTGGAGCAATTCGATAATGTTGGATTCTTTGAAAGAAAAAAACACTTGCCTGATTGTTTCGGTCTCGCTTCTTGCGATAGTCCTCGTCATCGTCACTGCTACCCTGTTTGGATGTCTTTGCCTTTTTTGTAGGCGGCATTTTCTTGTTTATCTTATGCAACAAAGCTTTTTTGTTTTGAATTTATTGTTTTTACTGTGTGTCGCACACTTTCTATGACGTAGTAATTGTTGTAAGTAGACACAAACAATCGAGTGTGTATTGTACGTACAATTTGGATGATTGTTATGATGAAATTGTTGTGAAATTCGCTTGTTGACAACTGACTCATTGACAGCTAATAGCCAATGACTGGGGTGCGTTCGACAAACAGTTTATGACAGATAAACAAAACCAGTTTATTTATTTTTCGAATCAATGTACGTTTATTTTCAATCGAATTTTTTCGAGTTTACGATTTGTTTACGGGAATGTTTTAGAAAAATGTAATATTCAAGTCGAATGGGAATTCATTTATGGATGCAATCGATTGCCTAAATAATTGTGTATGTTGCCAGGCGCAGTCTCCATTGCCACCGCTCAGTTGCACATTAATCGTGAACGAGTCGAGATTTTTGATACTTTGGAAATTCGGTAACACTTTGCCTTTGTGCAAAAAGGTAACTTCAATCTGGCCATTTTCGTAGGTTTTAACATCAAACTTAAATGATATATCCTTAATTTTTAAGTTGCGATCGGAAAAATCGAATTTCCATTCAATTTCGGCTCGATCACTATCCTCAGCTCGTGCCAAGTAGACCATTTTCCAATCGCGTTCTTCTTTTCGAAAGATTTTTTCCCAACGATAGGCACACGATTGCCATGTCTTTGCCGTTTCTGTTGGCTCAACTCCATTGGATCGATGGAGATAACGCTCATACTCATTCTTAGCACTAGAAAATCGTACGTTGAACTCCTTTGCATTGGCTTCGGTTTCTGTTGCATTGAAGACAAAGAACTGAAAAGGAAAGAAAAGGAAGCATTAGCTTGACCGCCAAGATGCTTCAAAGCATATAAAGTCTATTATTTACGTTATTCGATGTACACTGTTGGTCTTCGCCACGCGTCAATCTCCAGCTCAAGCTGCCCGAACTACGGCCTTTCTTTTCATTTTCGGTGGGCTCTCGCTGAACCATCAGCTCAATGATTTCCCGCAAATTGCGCTTTTTCAAGTACTTTTTACGAGCGACAGACAAATTCATCTGTCGCTTATCTCTTAATAACAAAATGGTTTTTAGCACTTCTGGTTCAGTGCAGCGCTGTCGATTGCGAGTGGCTTCTTCGTGGTTGCTTGCATATCGCCAGGTGACATCTTGAATGTCTTCATGTGAAAAGGCAATGATATAGTCAACTTTACGTTTCCAACCGTGCTGGTACATCAATGGCGCATCAACCACATTATCGGATGGATCGATGTGAATCCATCGATTTTGAGCCTCTGAAAACACCTGCGACGTAAAGAAAGTCAAGAAAATTACGCAAAATTGGCTTAAATTATTCATGGGAAAATTAACTGCAAACCTCTGTCCAAACATGATCGAAAGTCGCTTGCACCAAACGAGCCTCGTAGCCAAGACACCGGCACAAAAACGTGAAACAATTGGCGTACTCGCCGCATCGCCCTTTGCGTGTTAGAAGCAATTGTGCCACATCGTTGTAGCGATAGAATTTTGTTTGTGTATTACAGCAGTACAGAACCTAAGACCAGTTCAATTAATGCAATCAAATATCATTTGTCAATTATTCAGCGGCATTCGATTAAAAATTGAAATGAATACCTCAACACGGGTGTCGTTTTCAACTTGTGATCCCTTGGTACGTGCATCGTCTTGTCCACAAACCTTGCACGGCAGTGTGTTTACCCATTCGAAAAATGACTCGTTAAACCATTTTGTGAGCTCAACAAGCAGCCAGTCATCGAAACTGGGATCTTTGATTTCTTTGTTCAATGGCTGCTTGTATTGTTCCTTCTGAACAGCGCGCATATTTTTGATGGTATTTTCGGTGAGTGTTCGAATCGGAATCATTCGTCGGCCGTAGTACTGTAATCGATCATCTTCGTATTGCATAACCTCATCCGACCGAAATTCAAGATTTTGTAGGAAAGCATTTTGGAATGGCTGCGAAATGGAAAAAGAAAACCATGGCTAAAAATAGGCAAATCAAAAATTCAAAGACATTATCATACTTACGACAACTTTTTCAAAGTTGATTCGTTCGCGATACGGCTTCAATGGTACAATTTTCGTTGGTCGACGCTTTATCGCACCAACACTGGATCCCGAAGGTTTTGCGCTTATTTTTGCTGGTTGCGATAATGGAATTGAATCATTTGTACCATTTTTAATCACCTCAAATCGTTCGTTCAGTTGATCACGATACTTTCGAATGGTTGCTATCAAAACATTTGTGGGCAAATTCAATGCTCCATTCACCTATTTTCCGATATTTACATAATATTCATCATTAGCAATCAATAGAAAGAAAAAAGAAGAAAAAAAAATAAAGCCCATTCCCCCAGCCACACCTCAACAAATCCAATTTTCTCCAAAAATGCTCGGACTCCATTCAAACACAGCAGCTTTTCTTTGATGATTTTATTCTCCAGCCGAATGGTGCGGTATTTGTCATTTTGCGGTTCACGGATAACATTATCTAAGATTTTTAATAAAATCGTCACACTCTCAATGTATTTCGTACCGGTGGTGATACTCTCTAAGTTTAGCACTTCGCGTTCGTAATTCAGTGAAGATGCCATCATAAATAATTAAGATAATGTGAATGTCTAACTGATTCGGGTGTATATTCTTCACTTGTTCTTTTCGTGTTTTCTTTGTTTGTCTAATAATAAACGTTGAATTTATTTTTTGCGTGATAAAGTAAAAGATTTTCTAAACAGAAGTGCACGAGTCACACACCACAAACGAATGCATACACACGAAAATACGATGAGAAATGGCTTGATTAACAGTTGAGACAGACAACAGCAACAGAGCGACAAGAAGAAAAAAATATATAACATTCGATTCGTTTGACGTCGAGAGCAAATAATCAACACGGAAAATAAATTGACACCGTCGTCAATGATTGCCTTGAAAAAATGTGCTATGTTTCATTCAATTAAAGCGAAACCCGAAAAAAAACTAATACTAAAAACCGCAATTTGTTCAAACAGCACGCACACAATCGGTCGATTGACTGCTATCACAATCGAACTCTGTCTATCTCTCATTCAAGTGACTGTCACCGAACACAATATGAATGAGTAATGGAAATATGAATACATTGCGAATTTCACGAGTGAGGTTATGTTCGCATACGACAGCAGTGGCAGCAGAAAAAATGTCACACAATTCCATAATACACATACGCTGGCAGAAAAAAAAACTTGTTTGTAACGCGCAATGCTGCCCATAGAGTGTGTTTGTTCAACGACCGACCGATCGGCTCTCGTTCGTATTGAGCATTCTGTGTCTAGTTCAGACGTTAACAATAAAACGTGTAAACAATACGAAGCGAATGCGAATGCGAAACAAAAAAGAAACAGAGAAAAAAAAAACGCTACACCAGACTTACAATATATTTGGAATTGAAGCAGCAACCGAGCAGTAGAAAAAAAAAGATGAAAAGCAGAAAGAAAGAAATGAAAGAAACAAAAAAAAGCACACACATCGTGTGTATAATGGAACACCGAAGCGAATGTAGAAGTCAGAGAGACGAGTCAATGTGTGCAGCACCGAGTATCCGTTAAGTTCTTTGTGTGCGCGATGTGTGTATTCACGTCATGAGTAAAACTCCAAACACATTGTTGGCTGCTTCGTATTTCAATTCGGTTCGATTACGGATCTGGTTGTGGTTAATGTGTTTGTGCTTCTCTCCTCACATCGTGCAGAAGAACATATTTTTTTTCATTTCGATGCATCTTCGAAAATATGGCGATTTGTTAGAAAGTAAAGAACACTCAATGTACGCACAATACTATAAAGTCGTTCCATTTCGTTCTCCGAACTATAATTTTGCTAATTTTTTTCCATGAGTTAATAGCAACAGCAATAGCAATAGCGAAAAAAAATATATTAGTGTTACCAATCCAAATATGTGAATAAATCAACCAGCGAAAAATTGAAGGAAAATTGTTTTTTGTCGTAACAACTGAACGTTGTGTGTCTCTGTGCTACCAACAATACGAAAAAAAACGAAACGTATAAATGTGACGCGATCGTATTTTTTTAATGGCGAAACTAATTCGAGAGAAATAAAAATTACGCGAGAAATTTCTGATCACAAATGAGTTCGGTGTGTGGAGTGTTTGTGCTGCGTAATCCTTAAATTTCGAACAAATCGAAGTGTTGTGATTTCATTTGTAAGTGGATGTTTTTGTCATCGCAAGCTTTTTGGCTGATCCGAGCAAACAAAACAGAAAAACAACGACAACGACGACGAAGAAATTAAATACGCAGAGCAAAGAAGGAATATCACAAACGACGTGTAAATTATTTTTTCGAGCTGTAAATCTTGGTGCCTGATGGTTTCATTTTATTGCACTTGTCTCGAATGTAGCAATTTTGATCGCTTTGCGCATTTCGCTGTTCAGTATATGATAAATGAATGACGGCATTGCTATTAGTGTAAGGGCACATTCTCGTCTCTTCACTCCAACAATACGTAATGTATGGCCGTAAATCACATATGCAAGTACACACATCGTGCGCCGCTTGGTATTAAATCGTATAGAGTGTGTGTGGTGTCTCTGTCTTTCTATCTCTCTCTGCCTCCCTCCCGCCCGCACTCACATCATTTCTATATTATTCTCGGTTTGCACACGTAAAATCGAAATACGAACCATCGACTAGCATTTGGAATTGGAATTCCAAAACCTCCAGCGAATCGAGTGCAATTTCGCCTATTTTATATGCGCGCTCGGAATAACATTTTTCATTTTGGGTTCTAAGCAACAACAGCAGCAGTAGCAATCGTAGCAGCAGATATACGACTAAAGCGATAGCAACAAAAACACAAACTCAGCCAGCAACAGCGTTCCGTAGCAGCCACAAAAAACAACAACAACAAAATTAGTATCAGCAGCAGCAACAGTGAGCAAGCAAACAAGCAATATGGATGACGCCGTTCCACCAGTCGGTGTTTTTGTCATCATTTTGTTTTTGCTGATCGGCCTCATCGTGATGGGTTGTATGCTCTATTGGAATTGGAGCCATCGTAAGCAACGCCTTGCAGAGGACGCTGACAATATTAGCAACGGCAATGCATGCATTTACGAGAAAAACAATCCGCGTACCTACAATCGGTCAAGTAATGCGACTTTTTCTTTACACACATAACAAACATTACATATTTGTTTTCCATCATCAACTTGTTGTTCTCATTCTATCGATAAAAACATTCTTTTTTTCCCATTCATTTATTACTTTCTACAATAATATTTTGCAATCGACAAAAAAAAGTTTCTCTTATCTGATTCGCCTGTGTATTTCATTCGGGTTTTATTCCTTTTTTTTTTCTTTTCTTTCAATTTACATAGCTTCGCTGATTATCACAGCCAACGCTCTTCCATACACAGGTTCTGATGCAGAAAACGGATCCATTGTTCAAAAGCAGTAATAAGCGCAAATTTGACCTTGACTCATCGACAATGGCAACACATTCACAAATTATGGACTAATTTATACGAACACGGTTCAAACCAATGCGTTTATAAATATTTTTTTTTTTGTCAAATTTTTGTCAAATGTGTTTCGACCGCATTTCGGGAAACCAGCATTTTATATATATTTACGATATGTATGTATGTATGTAATCGACAAAGTTTTTGGACACCGTGACCAAATCCCAGAGTGAATTAAACACACAAGTCTAATTGCTGCACATCGAAAAGTAAATCATTCGATCAACATTTATTTTTTTTTTCTCCTTTTATTTTTAAAAAGAAATATATATACATATCTGTAGAAGAAGATAAAAAATAAGAAAGAAACACGAACATAATTTTACCATGTCGGAATTTTTTGAACATTTTCAAATTTCAATAAAACGAAAAAATTGATAATGAAAGCGCTTTTAGTACATCGAATCGTTTTTTTTAAATAATTGATGACTTTTAATTAATTAATTAAATGGTTGTGCCTTTTATACGATAATAAATTTCACAATAAAGCATTCACATTTTGAACGCAAAACGCTTTTCGCTCACATTTTGCCATTGTTTTTTTTAGTAAGTGACCATAATGTCGTTGAGGGATTTTCGTTGAAGGTCTGGCACACAGCAGTCATCGGCAGCATAGCCAACGGGCAATAGAACAAGTAATTTCTCATTTTGCGGACGATTCAATAGATTTCGAATGGCAGGGCCACAGTTCAGTGGGGTTGTTACCTGAAATGAAACGGAGTCATTAGAATAAGGGGAAAAGATGGAGACAAATTCAATTTTCCTTATAGTTGAAGTCAACTTTAATATTAATGCGAAATTATCATTGAAGTTGAATGTCAACGAGGAGCTCACCAGTGAATTCAATCCCGCACTTTGTAATGCACACAAAAGTATTCCGGTTGCAATCGATACGGAGATCTCATTGTAATAATGCTGCTGTTTCATTCCATCTGATCGAATGCCTATGAAAATGTAACGAGAAAAAAACAATACAGCAAAGATGAACTTGATATTTTTGTGGACTGGCATCAGTCTACCGTAAACTTGCTTGAACACAATGATCAAGTATGGCGCATCGGTGAGATACTCTTTGATGAAATCCGTTTTTAGCGGCCTCAAATCCGTTGTCCACTGTCTAGACATGCGTTGGCTGTAATTCAAGTACTCCTCGGCTTCGATGATCTCACGAATTTCTTGCTTTATCAGAGCATCTTGTATCACACAAAACGTCCACGGTTCAGTATGGGCTCCGCTCGGTGAAGTTCCTTCAATTGAGTAGAATTTCAATTTTAAACTTTTTTTCCTTAATTTTCAAATTTGATTTGGTTTTTTTATTCTTCGGTTAATTTTTATTTTTTTTTTTTTTTGCCAAAAATTCCAATTACACCTACATTCCAAATAAAAATCCAAATAAACGTATGACGGAAAAAAATGTGTCACAAAACGAAAATTCATTATCACTCTCATCTAATCTGAAACAAAAATTAAACAGGTGTACTTACCAGCTGCCAAAATACACTTTTCAATGACCTCAATATCGACATGCTTATTTTTAGCGAATTTCCGAATGCTTCGACGATCATTGGCCAATTTAAAAAACTTGTCGCCGCTTTTATCCAGCCACTCGATCAATCCACGATATGCAACATGTTCAAGTTCGGGCAAATGTGGCCTATACTCATCTTCGATAATTTCGTCGTTAGTTGCATCGGTTTGAATGTTATTGCTGGTATCAATGACCTCTTTTTGAATTCGAGCCGCGTTCGCACTCGAACATGCAAATCGCTTCCAAACATATTTCGTGAGTATGAAAAGTAAAAGTGGTAGAAAATATCCGCTGTACTTTAGAAATATTGATTCTGCACACAAAAGCCGCAGTTCGGTGAAAGTGAACATTATTTATCGTGTAAATACCAGTTTACTTGAGAAGATATTTTTTTTTTTCTTTATTTCGCTCACTTTGTTTTCCGCTCTTGTAGTTTCTTATCTGCTGTAGCAAATGAATGCCAACTGAAATGGATATAACATCAAAAGTGAAGTGATTGGCAATATGCGCCGTCTGGGAGTCAAAATGTTGAAAGTAAAAAAAAAAATGAGAATCAGACAAATACATACAAACCAACCATTCATCCACTCAAATATAAACAGTTGTTCAAACAAAATTGCCAAATAAATGCCATTGATACAGTTTACGGTGTTTTGAAATGAAATTATTCGTCTTATGCCAATCTAACGTCTTTTTTTGCGTTTAAATTCTAATGACTTAGCACATTGCCTTTGTTCATTCATTCGTCCGTTCACAATGAGAACGGTGAATGACTTTGAGGTTCGGTGCAAATGTCAAAAACAGCTGATTACATGAGTTTTTATGTTCCTTGTAACATTTGTTGATTTCGACGCAGGAAATTTTGATATTTTTTTCTCTCTAGTTTCAATGGATTCCGTTAAAGTAGACATTGAATATTGGTAAATTTAGTGCAAAAAAAAATCAGAAATAATCCTTTCTAACCCGATTTGATGTTGTATTTTCAGTGAGATTTGCAATTCAAAGCAGCAATGTGAAGATTTGAGCAAAATAATTCAGCAAATGTGTCCGAAGGTCGAAGTTGTTTGTCACACCGGCAGACGAGGTATAAATCATTTGAAAGTGGAAACCTCTTTTTCTGTTTATCAAATCTATTTTTGATCATTTCAGGTTCGTTTGAAGTGCAAATCAACAACGAATTGGTGCATTCAAAACTGGCTAGCTTGGCATTTCCTGAATACGGCGACGTTGTAAAAAATGTGAAGTTAGCGGCTGAAGGTAAACCGGTGTCGAAAGTGAAAGAACAACCAATTACCGATTGCGTTATTCAATAAAAAACCAACAACCACACACACACACACACCGATCGATCAATGTGCGAAAGACTGATTAGATTAAATTAGAACGATAATATTGTATTTATTCACACCACTCAGACACATACAAAAATCTAAATAAAATCGTGAACATCATGTGGTTATATTTCTATTTCTACAAAATCATCGCATGATATTGCGCGGTCGTTATCATTCAATTGTTCGCCATTGCCTTGACATAAGTAGATTCCGAATCGCATTTTTCCGCTGAACTCTCGTGCAATCGTTTGCAATGGTTCGGTTGTTTTTTCGCCCGTACTTTGGTCGATACAAATCATTTGGCAGCGAGTACATGGGCCAGTTGTTGTCAATTTGATATTTCCAATGCGGATAGATTTCCATTCGGACTCTTCCAACGGTATCGGTGATTCGATTATCAGATTCGCTCTGAAGCGGTCGATGGTATTTTGGAGCATTTTCTCCGGGACATCCTCTAATTCCATCCAATTTTCAACTTTCCTTGTCAACCAATCGACTGAAGCGACATTTATCAGAAGAAATTGCGCTTGATTCGACAACGAAATTGCCTGTTCAGTTGGTATGTTATTCTTGACGGTGCGTTTGTCATTTATATTTTGTTGAATCAATCTTAATCCAGAAGTGCAAAAGACATTATCAAGCCATTCGGCAACCGAGTCACCGCAATCGATACCATCGATTCGATCACCACACACTTTACTTTGGCAAAACGATGACACCACTTTATTGTCATTGACATCGTGTCGCAATGGAATCTGAATGGTTGTTGCATACGGGAAACTCAGCGAAAGCGTGTTGTCAGCTTCATTTATGGTCGGTTGTATTAAACACAATTTTGCGTCTGATTTTTGAGTCATTGCTACTCCGGTCGAACGTACAATCATCCATTCACGATCGTATTTCAAACCACGACGATTTATCATCCATGCACCATCAACACGGAACGGAGCACAAGACTTGATCGGATAGATACAAATCTCGTGTAATTTTATGGAACTTAACAAATTCGAGCGATTTCGAACTTTTTGACGATCACTTGGAATATTCACCGACTTGGTTTGATCAACTTCTTTATTTACTGGAATTTTATTCTTTTCTCTGGATTCAACTTTGAGACTTAGAGGCTTTAATTTAGCAGCGGTCGGAGATTTTTGACTTTTCGTATTTGAGTCAGCAAGAGATTTCGAATATTTCCTACGCTCTTTATTGCAGAAACAATTTTTTATGAGATTGATAACCGCTTCAACATTTTCAACCGTTGTCATATAGCCCATAGAGATTCGAACCGAACCAGTTGGCACACCGTCAATCAGATCGTTACTATCGCCACAAATATGACCCGCCTATTGTGAATTAGGTAAGAAATTAGATTTTTAATAAGAACTTTTATAATCAAATCATCTTAACTTGTGCTTTAATGTACCTTGAAATGTGACTTCAAATCGGTGTCAGACAGCCGAAGATGACGTTGACATGCTCCGGGATTACAAAAGCAGCCCGTTCTTAAGTAGATATTATGCAATTTTGCCATGCAAGACACCTAAAATATGAGATCGAAACATTAATTCCATTGAACAGTTTTTATTGGTTGATTTTATTTTTATGTTGAATTTTAATTTACGTTCGTTCATTCTATCTCAAAGAAGAAGGTGAACGTTATTCACTGAATGACAAAATAAATAACAATAAAAATAAAGACGAATCAAATGAAACAGAATTTGATGGTGTTAAGTAAAAATGAACGCGTGAGAATAAAAGACTGACGCTAGCAGGTTTTTTGCAAAAGTGGGATAACAATCAGTTGCACGCAAAAGAGACATTTCAAAAGGTTACACGCAAACGGAACATTTTATTTTGTCGCATTTTGAATTTTAAAGCCGTGATTACAACAACAATATACTTCTCTCTTGCGTGCAACCTTTTGAAATGTCTCTTTTGCGTGCAACTGATTTTTATCCCGCTTTTGCGAAAAACCTGGTAGCGTCAGTCTTTTATTCTCACGCGTTCAAATGTACCTCTGTAAATCCGACGAAAGTTCCATCTTCATGTAGTACATTAAAGTTAACGATACCACCTTGGTCGTTGATCGATGTAAAATCGGTATCATGATAAAAACGAACGACGTGCCGCCCATTCGAATATTTCAACTCACGCAAAGATTCATACAAGTATTTGGCCAAATTGTACGAGTGTTGCGAGATTCGTTGCATATGCTGTCCAGGTATCAGTTTCTCAATGGTTTCATATCCCGCTAGAAGCGAAATAATCGATAGATATGGTATAGTTCCATCCTCAAACCTATTAAATAAAGAAAAAAACCATTCATTAATTTCAAAAAGAAGCAAAATGAAAACGATTCAAGAATTTCAAATCCGTAATTTCCAAAAGCGTATTTTTTTTTGTCGCGAAATAAATTCCACCGAAAAAGTTGTTACATACTTAAGTCGACCGATATGGTCATGTCAGGTGAACAAGTCTGTTTAATAGGTTAAAAAAGCTTGTTACTCTGTCCACATCTACATCTGGCTTCATTGCGGTCAATATTCACATGCACACACGCACATACATCATCAACAGTCAATCGATGCCTGCTCGTTAAATTTCTTTTGAATCAATATGATCTCTTATTTCGTCGTAGCCTTGATGAACTCTGTATTGAGTGTTTACATTTTTCAATGGAAAAGCATTCATATACCGGTGAGCACAGCCTCTCGCTTGCTTGCTCGTTCGTTTCGTTCGGTCGCACAAAATCGAGTGGGTTGATGAAATAATGACGATATCGGAATATCGTATCGGATATACAACACAGACGCATTATAGCATCATCACCCAATCCAAATTGTGTGTTGGCTGTTCAAGCGAGAACGAAAATCAAACTCATCACGCGCACTCGCTGGTCACAGCTACGTAAATAGACGCGAAAACATTGTGACTCGGATTTGTCATACATTGATTTTGACTCTCAAAATAACAGTGTGTAGAACAAAACCGAAAACTTAGTCATAAAAACATTTGTTAATTGTGATTGAGTGTGCCATTTTAGCAAGTAAATTTAATTGTTTCGATGAAATTGTTCGAATTAACACATTTTAATTTGAAATATAATCATATTTGCATTGTGTTGAATTGAAGGAATCGAAATATTTCGCAACGATGAGCTTAGAAACGCAAGATATTGTCATCATTGTGGCAGCTGTCGTTATTTCGCTGTTGTTGGTACTTTGTTTAATTAACATCTGCTATTTCTGGTGGATTCGACGCGACAGTCGCTTCTCAGGTAAAAATGCAATTTCAATATTTTTGATCATACGCATATGAATCATCATTTCAAGATAATAAAAATCCAATTTTTATTTGATTTGTTGAATAGATTTTCGCAACGACGGCAAAAACGGCGGACATCATGATTATGTGTAAGTGTACTATTTTTAAAACTTATGATGAATACGCAAATTGTAGGTTTTTTAACGAGGTGTTTTTCTTTCTGTATTACAGCCACAGATCCGGTGCATACCAATATAACTCTAATCCAGACAACCGTAAGTATATGTGACAAGATGATATTCAAACAGATTCTGGTGAAAATGTTCAGTTTTGGAGACAACAAAATGTAATTTCTACACTCTTAACTTTATATTGTGCGAATAGACAGGGACAAATAATCCTGTAAATCCTCTTCAATTGCGACGATGTTAATTCTTCCACCTTTTTCTATTGATTCCGAGAAAACAAGTTTTTGTCTTTAAGTGAAAAAATGCATCGAAGATTCAAAACCAGCTCAGTTTAAGATTTAAAAACTATAGGGTGGTCCAAACTGATTTATTATGGTGAGGTATATGCTCCCAATAGCTTAAAATTAAATTGGGCTCAAAACTAGCTGATTCCCTTTTTCAGATAAAAAAGAAATGTTAAAATCTAGTGGTCGATAGAGCCGTTTTTTACCTATTTTTCAACATATATATTGATAGAAAACCCATAGGTTATTCAAATCGAATCTGATGACATATCATGGTTTTTTGGGACGCTGAAAACGAATCCGTTGTCAAAAATGAGCTAATGTTGATTTTTAAATTTTTTTTAGTACAAAAATTGGTTTTATTTACAAATTCAGTCATATAGCAAAAACACATGGTTCCAAGAGTATTGTTAACACCAAACTTGAACTCAGCGCCTCAAATTACCTTAAGATTGACTATGCTGATGACAAAAATCGAATAATCTCAGAACTAAAATTTCCTAGTAGTGTTAACGTATCGAAAAAAAAACACATTTTTCCACGTATTTTTCCATCAAAAGTAAATTTTTGTTCAAAGCAGCCATTTTTATGGTTTTTAGGCCGCAGAATTCGAATCCACCCAAAAAGAAATAACAAAATTTCCAGTGGGAAAAATTGATATTTTTCTATACATTTATACGGATTTTTTTTTAATTTTTTCGGTTTTTCTCCTATAACTCGTACCCTATATGCAATGGAGCAACACTTTAGATCTTGCTAAAACCTACAATTTTGCTGCAGATAGTCATCACTTATCCCTCATCAGTAAGGAGATATAGGCCTTGATAGCTTTTATCAATTATCACTGTTATCTCCTTACTGATAAGAGATAAGTGATGACTGTCTGCGTGAAAATTGTAGGTTTTGAGCCCAATTTAATTTTAAGTCATTGGGAGCATATACCTTACCATGATAAATCAGTTTGGACCACCCTATTAAGCATATACATAGTTTTATAAAATATTGAAAATAATAATTGAATCCAATGTTTATAATGTACATATTTTCGTTACAGAGTTTGAGTCAACGGTGGAATACACAACTGAAGGACCCACGCGATACCACCGAGTTCAATCGAGTTAATTTCATCCTCCACATTTGTGTTAAACTATTATATTGTGCCATGTCATAATCGCAATTTTAAATAAATATTTCTTTTTATTAACGACTTTTCATAACCAAAAATGTGTTTTGAACTCAATCGATCAATCAAAATTAACCATTCAAAATCATTCAACGGATTGTAAATGAAAAATATGTGCGAGCTAATAATTTCTCTCAATTCAATAGGTAACCGATGTTTGAAACCAAAAATAACAGATTTCTAACAAAAAAAGATATTTTTGTCTCACCTTTCATAAATTAAATCACGTTTGCAATGCCATCCGGTGCCGTTGCTCATGCTGATCTTAACGGTTCCACCACCATAATACGCTTTATTCAATACTTGTTCGCCTCTTTTGCTGACAATCAATGCGCCCAGTCCCGATGGATATCCGAACAGTTTGTAAAAAGAAACACAAACAAAGTCTGGTCGCCATTTAACCAAATCCAAACTGTTGGTCGAAACAAAAGCAGCTGCATCCAAACAAACATAGCGATTTGACCGCTCGATCGACGTACTACCATTGGCAGTTTGAAAGCGATGAATTTCACTCAACGGATATTTGAAGCCACTAAAATTGCACTGAGATGGAAACACAAGCAGTGAATTGCCTCTTTGTCTAAGAGAGCCTTGAAACTTTCCACTCATAAAATTATCTCGTTCAACGCAAATGATATTATTTGTTTTCACAATTTCTCTCATTCCAAGCACGGACGTATGATTATCTTGTAAATACAAAAAAGAACCGGTATTTTCGTCATCAAAATCAAACGTTTCCGCTACCAATTTGAGTGAAGCCGTTGCACCACTTGTAAATATGACGGAATATTCATCGGATGTTGTGTTAAACCATTCCAAAACTTTGTATCGCACTTGGTCGATGAGGTCTTCAGTCATTTTGCTGGTGTGTGGATTGCAATAAACGTTCGACACCAAATTCGAATAAACCTGTTGCATTTGCTGTTCGGCATATTGAGTGGCACCAGCATGGTCGAGATAATGAATGTCTGTAATGAAGAAAAAACGACGTGTTCAATGATTCATGTTCAATGCGTGTTCAGTCGATAAAAATTAAATTTTTTTTCTGTGTTTTTTATTCAAGCGATAATTCACAATTTCACATTCAAATACCTTTCAAACGTTGGAAATTACGTGCAATGCAATTTCGTTCGTCGATAGAATATTCCTCCGAAAATTTCATCTTCAGATTTGAAATCACAAAATTCGTCTTCTACAAAACACAGAATATTTGATATGCTCAGCAAAAGGTTGATAACACTGTAACCTATGTGCGATTTGCAGCAACAGTTCACTGATGTTGAGGTAGAAAACTGAATTTCAAGTATGAAAACAATCGATCATGTGGGGCACGAAAATGCTATAACAGCTTGTTGAAAAAAAATATTTACAAAGGAAATTTGCTTCTACTACTACTACCACTACTACCACATGCACGCAGGCAATTACGTCGATTTGTAACAACACCAAAAACAGTAAACCAACATTACTGACTTAGCAACAACAAATCCATTTTACAGTTAACGTACTGATAGTCTTTCGTCTTCACTGTGCACTGCCTTCACTGTGCACATCTACAGCCAAATTTCAATCGTTCAAATGTTTGTACTTATCGCATCTTTCTTAACCTATAATTGATAAGCTTGAGTAAACATCAGCATTGGAATAACAACAACAATTCTGATCGGCGTACACTGTGGTAGAGCATCGTCAAGCAATAATTTATTGGGCTGTGTGTTATGGTTATTCATTGAATTCTATGTTATAGTTTTGGTATTATGTGTGTGTTTGTGTGCCAATTCATCAAATATTTTAGCGTGAGAGCTAATAGTCATTGAGTTGCAGTAATGAGTGCAACCAAACAATAGAGCACCGTGACTCGTACCATTCACATACAGTATTACACAGTACATGTTAACTGCCTAAATAAAAGCCGGAACCAATGTCATGCTAGCAAATTACACACGTTCGAATTCGAAACAAAGGGCGAAAACAAAATAACATACATTTTTTGCAATGTAGAATTCAACGTTAGATTGGTATCATTGTACTGATTCTCGCGGTGCACCTGCGTTCCGCTGGATTAGCTTTGGCGTTCATCAACTTTTTATGGAAATGTGTGCAGCGAAAGTGAAACGTGTTTAGTGGCAAAATTGATTTTTTTGTGTGAATTTATGTCGTGAAGCCATACAAGATACGCGCACAACCAGCATTCAATCCACCACCAGTAATCACTTTACTTCAGTCTTGTATTGAACTTCTGAAATAGCGGATTCGAAGCGACTCTCCTCCAACAATATGGTTGATGGTAAATTTCGTTTCCTGTTGATATTCGGGTTTTTTCATAGCAAAACTTGTGATTTCTTTTAAAACAGTAACTGGTGTTGCAAAGCGTGGCGGCTATCGATATGACGATGGAACCCGTTACATTGGTGACTGGAATAGCAGAGGTCAAAAACATGGAATGGGACACCTGATTTTGGCTGGTAAATTTTATTATACAAGTAGAAAAGTGGGTTTCTTCGCTTCAACTCAATTGTTTATGTGGAAATTGGTTGTATCGGGATTATAGATGGAACTCGTTATGATGGAGCCTTCGTAAATGGCCTTTGCAATGGATTAGGAGTGATGACTTTTTCTGATGGAGCTAAGTAAGTTGAAAGTTTGTGACATTTTTCTCTGGTTCTGGCACATTTCGTTCCATTTAGTTTGTGATTTCTTTGCTAATGATTTGATTTTGTCCAAGTACATTAATTACATTACATTCATTGCTTTTAAAATATTGTTTCTTTGAATTCAAGTTGTTTTTTTTTTTAAATCTAAGAAATATTTACATTCCGTCTTAAACAATGAACAATTTTCCCATTTCCAAAAGATACGAAGGCGAATTCATGAAAGGTTGGTTTCATGGTCACGGAATCTTCTGGCGAACTGATGGCATGAAATTTGAAGGTGAATTCCGTGGTGGTCGCATTTGGGGATTGGGCTTGGTGACATTTAGCGATCACACTCATGGTTTCCCACGAAACGAAGGATTTTTCCAAGATTGTCGATTAGTTCGGAAGAAGCGATGCCCAGAAGTGGTTCAAAAAGCCCAGAAAGTTGCTCTCATGGCACGGTCATTAAGCGCTCAATGCGATTCAGGTGGCTTTTGATTAAACTTAGTTGTCATTTAAAATTGAATGCAAAGCAATCGCTTTACGTTTTAGTTTAATTAAGAAGAATGTATCGATTTCATGGTTGTTCACAATTGAGATTACATGAATAAACCTAACAAATGTCATTTAACTAAAACTTAAAACTATTCGCCGCACCGTTTTGACTTTTTATTGTTGTTGTCATGTTTTCGCTGTCATGTGTCAAATCAGCCGGTTTGACAGTTCAGCAAGAATACTCTATCAATTTCACAATTTTAAGAAAATTCTTTTAATTTTAATTGTATCAAAAATAGAAGGGTCGATTGTGATTTCTGCTTGAAAAATGGATCAATGGTTGAAAAAGAGTTTGGAAGAGTGTCTAGGGTTCGATGTGCCCGATGACATGGTGAAGTAAGTATTTGAATTGGGATTTTGAGCAATATTTTGCCACGATTCACCTCGTACTCATACTGTAATTTTCCAAACCAAGGTTTGTACTGACATTAAAAGATGAAAGAAGCATTGATGAATATTTTGAAACGCTGTTGGATGTATCGGTGCCGGATCATCGTAAATTTTTGACTGAATTCAAGAAGCGAGCACTGCCCAAAAATCCTAAGAACAACAACAACAACAGCAAAAATAAAGGCAGCCAAAACAAAGCGAATGTGTTGAAGCCACAGAATGCAAAAAATAGCACACAAAACGAGAAGTCACTCTTAGCTGAAAAGGGAAATGCGAAGTCATCAAATGTTCAATCAAAACTGAACACAAAAAACACCAATGAAAATACAGCCGCATCGACTGGCGCCAAGAAGAAAACAAAATATGTGAATTTGTACGGTGAAGATGGGAAAATGAATGATGTGATTATGTTGAAAGGTCGTCATTTGTGTAATTGCGAGGCGTCAAAACACAAACTCATCAATAACTGCATTCAATGCGGCCGCATTGTGTGTGAACAAGAAGGCAGCGGCCCATGTTTATTCTGTGGTAATTTGGTGTGTACGGAAGATGAGCAACGAATCATTGAGTCATCATCGCAAAACGGTGAAAATCTGAAAAAGTCATTGCTCAAACAAGGTCGACCAAAAGGATGGGAAGAAGCAGTTGCAATGCGAAATCGTCTTTTGGACTACAATCGCACGAGTGAGAAGCGAACCACTGTCATTGACGATGAATCCGATTACTTTCGCTCGAATTCGGTTTGGTTAACAGACGAAGAACGAACCAAATTGAAGAAAATGGAGGAGAAAATGAGAGAGAAGAAACACGCCAGCCGAAAAGATCAAAAGATTACAATTGATTTCACGGGTCGGCAGATTATTGAAGAGGAGTCGATGAGCGCTGAATTTGAAAGGGAAATCTTAAAAGAAGTTGCTGACACTTTCGCACATTCCAATCAAGGACTTTATTCAACTGATCAACATTTCGATAATTCGGATGACTGTGACCCGAAGTTATCTGTGCCGGCGCCAATTGTGAGTATTTATTGGTTACAATTTATTTGAATTATTTCATTGGATTGTTATCAATGTTATGATTATCAACCGGTGTTGAGTCAACATGGTTTAAGACAATTTTTTTTTTTGACCATTTTCCTATTTTTGCATGGTATTCCCTCAGTTCGATGAATCAGTATTGATCAAGGTAAATTCAAATAAACCGAAATACGATGGTGTTTACAATCGCGTTCAAGACAAAGAACTGCTGGAGGTGTCCGATATGAAGAAATGCATGTCAATGCATCAGCCGTGGGCTTCGTTACTCATCGCTGGAATCAAGAAGCACGAGGGTCGATCATGGTACTCATCTCATCGAGGTCGACTTTGGATCGCATCAACCGCTAAACCAGTCGATCCGGACGAAGTGAAAGTCATGCAGAATTTCTACAAGAAATATTATGATGGTATATAAATGGAGGGGGTTTCATGGATTTGAATCAAAATCTTATAACCGTTTTAATTTCATTTGCAGATGGTTCCATCGAATTCCCAACGCAATATCCAACTGCTTCTCTATTGGGCTGTGTTTTAGTTCAGGTAACTACTTCTACTTGGTTTCAGGGTTTTGCACTTTCGTCAAGTAATTTTTATTGAATTTATTTTGTAAACATTTTGTTGTCTCTTGCAGGATTGCTTGCCGCAAGAAGAATACCGTTCGACTCATCCGAATGGAGAATCAGAAAGTCCTTATGTCTTCATTTGTTCCAATCCACAAGAGCTGCCAGTTAAGTTTCCCATCAGCGGTTCACATAAAATCTGTAAGTGCCGATGCCAATCAAAATCCAATCGACTTTTCTTTTATTAAATTACTGATGCTCTGAACAAATTCGTCACATTTTAATTTCAGACAAATTGGATGATGCGATTCACATTGCAGCAGTGAAGTCATTACAACGCATGGCGAAGATGAAAGTGGAAGAAAATAAACAATAAGCATTCGATTTCGAATTAATAAAAACAAACGCGAGAAATAAATGAATTTTTAAGAAAATATTCCATCGTTTATTAAATTTAATTTATAATATCATTCAAAATAAGAAAAAGACATTTCATTTTGTTTCAATCCATCGATTACAACAGCTCTTTAACATTCCAGTTTCGTAAATGATTTACATATTTTCACACGAGTATAGAATGACCTCTGGTGGCCTACTCATGGGAGATTCTCGCAAATACTGCGTTCGATTTCGTTTCGTTCATCTTTTTATAGTTTTCTGCTTTGTTCCTTCTTGATAAGATTCGATCGGATTTGTTTCATTACTTTCTCTCAATTTTTCTAGTAGAAATGACCTGTCACAACTAAGTCTATTTTCAAATGCGTTGTTCATTAATACGAGATAAACACTTTGTAATATTCCTAGAGCCATTCGTGTGTACAGTGTACACATCCAATGTATTGAGTTGATTACAAATATGTAAACAAAAATAAAAACTCTGCGGTTTGATAACACCATTTATTGATTACTAAGAAGAAACAATTCTGCGTTGTTTTCAAACGAAGGCAAGCACTCAAATCTTGAAATTAAATTCTATTCTCCAGTGTCATTTCGATTGTGTCATTTTGCTCGTGATTCCGCTAGGAACTTGTTATTTATTTGTTGAAATAATAAAACCACTGTGAAAATGGCAATTATTGGACCTGAATCGTTTTTTAACATGGCCGCTTTGGCGTACATATTCGTATTTGGGCTGGTTTTTCTCATTGTATCTACACTAATTCGTGCAACATTGTGTCCAAGGTGAATTTTATTTTTAGAATTTTTGCGATTATATTCGAATTTAAGAAATAGTTACTCGATTTCACTTCATACGATACAAGACAATTTATGTCCATTTTCAATATCATTTATTTTGATGAACAGAACTCCAGAACAACAACGAGAACGCCAGTCTTTGATTTTAAAAGGTTAGTCAATTTTTCGCAATGATCAGAGAATAAATACACCAAACACATTTCAGAATTTAAATGATTTTAATTTTCTAAATGCAGAAACAGATCCATCGAATCTCAATTTAGTTGTAGTGGAGCAACCGTGAACAAATGAATACCAACTGAAGATTTCTATTTGCTACATGTAACTTTGGATTTGATTAATAAATGCACAAGAAAAAAGTTCCGTTGTTTTGATAATGTTTAACGTCTTATGATCTCAACTGAAGCGGAGAATTGTCTTCAGTTTCAATCAGAGATTACTATGAGATATTTTTATTCATATTTTGCTGAATTCGGCTCGGATCAGTCTCAAATTCGACTTGGCACGCAGAAAGGAATATGAATTTTGTACTGCAGATGCGTTACAACAACGCAACGCATGAAAAATATATGATATTTTTATGCGATATTTCTATCCCATATGAATAAAAATATCTCATAGTAATCTCTGGTTTCAATTATCAACGTGATAATGTCGTTTTACTGCGATTGCGATAAACAATCCATTTTCATTTTCAGTCATATTTTTCGGTTTCTTTCACGGTTTCAACGGTTACAAACCTTTCGATAAGGTTCGGAATTTATTTTCAGTGATTTGTTTTATTTGTGAGGTGGATTTTTTTAAATTGTTTTTGGCATTATTATTTGACAACTTATCACTGTAAAACAGGTAAATAATATAATAATTATCTGGATGAGATGAATTTTCGATATAATGAACGTTCAACTTCATTTCGATCATCACCATGGAAATATGTAAGTGTATATTGAAAATGTTCATAAACTATAAAGGATTGTATTGGACATAAGTTTTTGGCATAGAATGATCTCAATTTCATTTAAAATAGCCCATTTTAGTTGGATATTTATCATCGATTTTATGATTCAACTCAAATTAAGTGGCTGATTAAATACATTTAGATAAATCGATCAAGAATATTATTGTTGGATTTCTATATCTTGAGTATGTTTATGTGGTAATTCAACTTTGAGGTCATTCGTATTTCGATAAATTTCCCACATTTCTGCACGAGAATTTTATTACGTTAAAAATGTGCAAAGCTCCATTCATAAACTGATTTTTCGAAGTGGCACGTAGTAAATACAAAATATTGTATTTTGTTTTTTATGACTCATATGACTTTAACGAGGCGAACATGTACAATTTTGACAATCCAATCTTCAAATGTCACTAGTGTCATATCATTGACGTCTCAGGTAGGGTCTTTTGCGTTTAAATTTGATCGCTTGATGATTCGATCTAAATACTCTGTCTTTCCAAACCACTGAAATTCGCAAGATGATGAAATATACTATGAGCAAAATGAGTGAAAGTGAAAGTTGGGGAATTTTTTGCTTAATGGTTCCTCTCATTTTCATCGTGTTTACGCTTATTCTTGTTCTCATCTACTTAGTGATCACAACTTGCACGTATTGGATCATGGGATGGAAAAAAGACAGGTAGGAATTTAGTTTGTTATCAATATTTCTCAAGGTTTTTGGCTTAAAATAGATTAATCATACGAATTTCATTTCTTTTGTTTGACAGAATTGCAAAACGACAACTACAACATGAAATTTTATGCTGAATAAGCCCGTACACAATCGAAACATATCAATAGATTTGTGTGCTGCGCACATAATGTTATTGTATGAATAACGTTCTCCAAATACAAAAACACGTCCATTCACTATCAATCAATGCGTCGTTATACAACGATCAGTGATGACAATCAACTATTCCGTACCATAAAATACCTAATCAGTTCAACGAAAACATTTTTTAAAAACAAACTTAGTTTTCGTTTCGCAGATCTTTTTTTCTACGAACTTCAACAAATATTACTTTTTAGAATTATTTGGAATGCCAATAATAAAGTGAAAGAAGAAAAAAATTGATTTTTTTTCACTTGAACCTGTAACACCAACATGAAAATTATAAAAACTTTTGAACTGCATATTATGAGGTGGAACAGATAACAAAATATATTTAATGAATATTGTTGCGACGCCGACATTGTCGTTGCGTTCTCAGCGGAGACATTTCATATCGTCAGCACTGTCTTAGTTCGATTTTTTTTATTTTACTACATTTCCCTTCCATTTCCCCACACTTGCATTGAGTTAAGTTTCGAATTAGCGCCCAATATATATTGCGTATTCATATGCAAATACATACTTCATTCAATAATTTCAATAAAAATAAATAAACAAAGCAGGCAAAGCAGAACAGCACACAGTGTGTTTGTGTCACTCTATAAAGACGAATACTTTAGAGAATTCTCTTAATCCAATTCTATTTCTTCTCATACGAGAAACCAACAGAAACCGATAATAATTCATTATATGCTATTCAT